TTTAAGAGGTGGGCTAAGGAAAGGCAATAGGATACCTCACCTAGGCAATTCTCACCAAACCACAACTGCCTTAGGCAGATAAAGCTAACTGGAGCAGCACTGCAGCGGCGACTGTGAGGCAGTAGGCCATGAAGACCATGAAGACGGCCCGTGGCTGTGCTTTGTTCTGCCCAGCTTCTGGGTGTCCCCGCGGGTCTTCTGCTCTGAAGTGCGCAGAGGGGAAGAGCCCGGGAGATCTCGGACCTGTCACCATGGAGGAGGGGAGGGGCGACAGTTTTACCGGCTTGAGCTCGGAGCGCCTCAAACTGCAGCTGCTGGAGCAAATCCACAGGAAGTGAGTGGGCGCGCTCTGCGCTGTGCGCGTGCGCGCGCCCTCTTGGCCTCGCTGGGTCGTCCCCGCCTGCCACCCAATTGCAGAAGCCATCGAGGTTGATCGGAGACCATACTGATGCAGGGCACGTCCAGCAACGTCCCAAAATACTCTTATATGACTCATTTATTTTTCTGATTAATTAAAAGACTCCTGGTTTTTACAAAGTGCCTTGAGGATCAAATTGAAGTGAGTCATGTCCCCATAACGTGATGCTAAAATACCTGTAAGTTTCCTATGCCAAGGATCTGTTTTAGCTAAGCATTTCTTTCCTCTCTTTAGAACTTCAGAAGTGACATTTTGTAAAAACCAGGAGTCTTTTACAAAACCAGGAGACTATATGTCCCGGTAAATTTCCTATGCCAAGGATGTTTTAGCTAAGCCATTTCTTTCCTCTCTTTAGAACTTCAGAAGTGACATTTTGTAAAAACCAGGAGTCTTTTATAATTAATTAAAAGATCAGGAGTCTTTTCCAGGGTAGGCCAAATAGCTCAGCGGATTAAAGCACCTGCAAGCAGGCGGAGCAACCGTGGTGGTTCAATCCCCTGGCCTGCCTTGCCGGCCCCACCCTCGGGGCACAGTGAGATGGCTATTGAGACTGGGCGTGGTGGTGCATGCCTGTAATCCCAATTCTTGGGAAGGTATAAACAGGAGAATCACTACGAGTCCAATCGAGTAGTGAGACCCTGAACACTCTGTAGAACCGTCCCTAAAATGCAAAAAAAAAAGTATGTTTTTCCCAAACTTATTTTTCTGCTTGCCAAGTATCCAACCCATGGCCTTTCAAATGATAGAGTCTACCGAGCTGTATTACCAGCCTCCTACATGGTTTAAAAAATATTAGTACTTCATGTCAAAATGAATGCTCGAGTGCTTTAAAAAAGATAATTGTCATCCTACCCACAGGCCCCATTGTTATACTTTCTTGGTATCCCAAAGAATTGGACAACACATAGAACTGGCAGTGAAATTAAAAATGTTTCATTTTTTAAATTTTTTTTGGCAGAACCAGGGATTGAACTCAGACCCTTGTGCTTGCCAGGGAAGTGCTTATTCCACTGAGCCATCTCCCCAGCCCAAAATGTAATTTTATTGAAGGTGGAAAAGAAGTATGTTCAGCAGAGTAAGAGTAGGTGGGTGAAAAGGCTCCTAGGATAAGGGAAAGGTGCCCTCTGTATCTAGAATTCCTGGTTTATGTAAATTATCCTATGTAAAAGTTCCCTGGTTTCCTACTGTATGTAAATGAAGGGTCAGGAATAATGTCTCCTGAGTGGTTGTACCATACACAAATGAGGGATTTTTTTTTTTTTTTTTTTTTTTGCGGAACCGGGATTGAACTCAGGCCCTTACACTTGCCAGGGAAGTGCTTAGTCCACTGAGCCATCTCCCCAGCCCCTCAAATGAGGGATTGAAAAGCACATCTTCTGTTTGGTCCTGTGAGCAGCACCAGATTCAGTTGATCTTAGCCAAAAGGCCGAGAAGCGATACCAGACTCAAATAAAGGTTTGAAAATAGCACTTTGCTAATTGGTCTTTGTAGGGTGACAATGACCTCACTGTGCAGTATGAGAAGTGCCCCCTCCCTATTCCCGTCTCACCATAAGAATGAGATTCCTGTGTGCTCTATTGTGGCTCCAATTGTGGAGGACCACCTGAGTAGCTCTTCTTGAAAGAGCAATTGTCTCTATCTTTTTTTTTTTCTGGAACCGGGGATTGAACTCAGGCCCTTGCGCTTGTCAGGGAAGCACTTATTCCACTGAGCCATCTCCCCAGCCCCTATTGTCTCTATTTTGGCTGACCCTATTTCCTTGTATTAATATGTACAGAGCTGGCTAGGACTTTTATCTCTTTAATTTGCTTTAAACAATGCATACTGGTCTAGCCAAGGTGCTGGTGTTAGTCTTTAAAGACTGCACATGTGTTTCCCTGGTAACTTCCACTTGCTGCTCTTTAATATGAGCCTGGTTGAGACATGATGAAGAGCCAGTGCTCCATGCTCTTCACTGGGATCAAGCCTCAAGATGGAGGCTTTGACTTTCTGGTTCTTGAAAGATTACACATCAGAGCTGAAGCACTGGACCCCAAAATGTTAGATACTTTATCAATTATGTAATGTAAATTACTCTCTTTGTATAGCCTTCCCTTTACAAATGGCAGAGGTAAATGCAGAACTCCTACCTAGCCTAGCTCATGCCCTCAGTGTACTTCTACCATGCTCAATCACTCATCCTCAAGCCACTCCCCTTTTTATAAAGGAATAAAAGCTGGGTTTGGTTTTGAGTAAGGACCTTTGTTCCAGATAACCATCTTCATAGCTAGACTTTGGAACGCTTGACCATGTAATTATAACTATGATTTAGTGTCTTTGTTCTTGCTGTAGGTTGCACTGGAAGTGGTAGATTGGAATTAACTTGATGGGATTCCAATAATTAGACTGAGAAGAGGATCAAGAAGGGCTCTCTACATCCAATCACATGGTGTAATTGCCTTTTTCTTAATTCTAAAGACAGGTTCTATGTGTCATCTGAGGCAGTAATGGGTCAGAACAAGTACTTTAGACTCTGACATACTTTACAAGAATTTTACATAATTCAAGTCTATTATTATTACTCAGTCATTATATAAGCTGAAATTGTTCTAGAGGAGACTGCACGATGGCACTGGACCCTTGGTTCTCTACATAGGATTCCACCTGTCAAATTGCCCAGGAAATTGCTGAGAAAATTCAACAACGAAATCAGTATGAAAGAAGAGGTGAAAAGACACCCAAGGTCCAGCCTGATGAAGGAAGCAGCTAAGCGAGGAGCCCCCAACCTTTGGCTCTTTGAGGAGGCGGAAGAGATGAGGGGCTTGGGATTTGATGAACTCCGGCAACAGCAGCAGAAAATTATCCAAGAACAGGATGCAGGCCTTGATGCCCTTTCTTCTATCATAAGTCGCCAAAAACAAACGGGGCAGGAAATTGGGAATGAGCTGGATGAACAAAATGAGATAACTGATGACCTTGCCAACCTTGTAGAGACCACACATGAAAAGCTCGCACTGAAACCAGGTGTGTGAACTTGGTGGACAGAAAGTCAACCCCGTGGGATGATAATGGCGATTTTACTGCTGCTCGTGGCTACTGTGATCGTTCCAGTCTGGCCAACCAAGTAATAGCATTAAAGGGACCACCTGCTGCAACACCTAGCAGTGCCGAATAAAAGCCCAGCATCTTTTCGGTACACAAAACCTGTTCTCAATAAACTCACCTCAAGCTCTGAAAAAAAAAAAAAATTGTTATAGAAATAATGCCTGTAGGGCTGGTGACATGGCTCAGTGGTCTAAAGCACCTACTTAGAACAAGCTTAGCAAAGCACA